AAATAAGCAAAGACATTTTACCCAAATATAAAAAAGGAAAAGGAACAGATAAAGGGGCAGCCGCAAGCAGCAGCGTGAGGCCCGCAGCGAGCAGCTGAGGCAGCGGGGGCCCCAGGGGGCCCCCCGTGCTGGGCTCTACAGCTGGAGAAGCCGCTGTTGGGGCCCCTGGTGGATACTCTCGAATATTTACGGATTAAATAAGTAAAAGAACACAGAAAATAAAGAAGGAGAGAGTTACTGGGGCCCAGGAAAACGGCCCTGGCCAAAGAGAGTCACGAAAAGGATTTCTGAATTTCACATTGTCCAGCTGCGCCGCCCGGTGCGGGCTGCGGCGGTGTACGTACACCGGAGAAAAGAGGAAACTTCCGCATTTTCTCGATAAGAGTTCCCCATTTTATCGAGAAAACTTCTGCATTAGCTCGAGAGCCACTGCCCCACAGAAGAGTGGCCGCGAGTCGGGGAAAAAGTGAAAAAAAATAAGGTGTGACAAAAAGAGCAGCGGATGCGCTCTGTGCGCACTGCTCAGGTGTCTGCACAGCTGCTGCGCGCCGAAACCAGGTGTGCGTACAGCTGCTGCCAAAGCGAATTGCCAAAACAGTTTTTGTTGAAGAGCGAAAAACACTCGAGCTCGCTGCTGCAGCGAAGCCCACAGAAAACAGGCGGGAGAGGACTAATCCCGCCTTTCATACTTAAGATTCCGCAAGCCAGCAGCTCGTTGACCAGTGGGCTGCTGCATGCGCGAGAGGACTGCAGCTGCTAAAGTGGCGTTCAAATCGCAGCGGGAAGCTGCTGCTGCTGCTGCTGCTGCTGACTGTTGCGCCAGTGCTTGGCTGGGGCAGCAACTCAAGGCTAGTCAGGCGAAGTAACGCGCCAATCCGGTCCCCTCGGTTGAGGTGAAGCAGCTGCTGCAGCAGGTGCAGCAGGTGCAGCAGCAGCTGCGGAACTGCTGCAGCAGCAGCTGTGAGGCGCTGGCGGCGGGCGCGTTGGGTGAGGGAGGACACGGCGAGGGGTAAGCGGCAGCCGGGCCAGCAGGAGCAGCAGCAGGAGCAGCTGGAGGACCAGCAGCAGCAGCAGCGTGGCAACTACTAGCTCAAAAAACAAGGTGTGGGTTTGCTGCAGCACTAGCTGCTGGGGGCGCAGGAGGTCCCGGGGGGCCCCCGCGAAGCACTTGCAAAGTTGAAGAGATCATTCAAGCTTTCTTTTTGGTGAATTCGCCGAATGGCGTCCGCCAACAATATCGAAATCGAAAGTATTTTTATCTTCTTGCAACTCGTCACCATTGGCCGCGCCTGCCGAACCACCAAGCCCCAAACCCCAAACCCTAAACCCTCCCCCTCCCCACCCGAAAAACCCTACCCCTCCCCACCCCAAAACCCCAAGCCTCCCCGCCCCTAAAGCCCCAACCCCCCGACAACCCCCCGCAAAGCCCACAGAACCCCTCCCCCTCCCCCCCAAACCCTAAACCCTAAACCCTACTTTGATGGTGTCGGTGATGACCACCTCCTCGAGGGCGCTCTTCTGAATGCGGTCGATCGCGGGGCCGCTGAAGAGCCCGTGCGTCGCGAAGGCGAAGACCCTGCGGGCGCCTTTGCTTTTGAGTTCGCGGGCGGCCTCGACGAGCGTGCCTGCGGTGTCGATCATGTCATCGACGATGATGGCGTCGCGGCCCTCCACGCTGCCCACCAGGTCCATGCTTTCCACTTCGTTCGCGCGGATCCGCCGCTTTATCAGCATCGCTATTGAGCACTCTTTGTAGCCCCGCCCCACCATGCCTTCCTGGAACTTCCGGGCCCTGCAGGCGCTCCAAAGCAGCTTCTGCGCGCCGTTCAAACCCTGTTTCCGGCGCGCGGGGGGCCCCGGGGGGCCCCGGGGGCCCCAGGCAGCAGCAGCAGCAGCAGCGGCGGGGGAATGTGACGGCGGGTGCGGGAAACGCACTGCCAGGGACAACGGCACAGGCAGGAGCGACAATAGACGCGAGGTGCCACCAGCAGCAGCCAGAACACCAGCAGCAGCCGCAGCAGCAGCAGCAGGACCTGTAGACGCCGCCCGCGTCTGGGGAAACGACAACCGGTTTGTGGAGGTCTTTGCACTCGAAGTAGTCGAGGCCCACAATTTGGGCCTCGACGTTATCTACGGGAACGCGGGGCCCGAAGAAGCCCTGGATTTGCCCGCAGTGCAGGTCCACAGCCACCACCCGGTCCACCCCCATCGCCTCCATCATGCGAGCCACGTCCGCCTGCAGCAGCAGCAGCAGCAGCAGCAGCGGCAGCGGTAGCAGAGCGGCAGCGGGCGTTCACAGCCAGGCGCAGGAGCCGCTCCCCGCTCCCCCGCCACACCTCCCCCCACCCCAGCAGCACCCCAGCCGCAGCAGCAGCAGCAGCAGCAGCAGGCGCGCACTGCGGAGATGGGGACTCTGCTGTTCATCTTGCGGTCCTGGCGGGCGTAGCCGAAATAGGGGATGACGGCGGTGATCTTCTTGGCGGAGGCGCGGCGGCAGGTGGAGACCATCAGCAGCAGCTCGAGAAGATGGTCGTTGACTGGAGAGCTCGTGGGCTGAATGAGGTAAACGTCTTTGCCGCGCAGCGAGTCCAGGAACTGAATGTTGACTTCGCCGTCGGCGAAGCGGGACACGGAGACGCGCCCGAGCCGCGTGGAGAGTCTCTCGGCCACGGCGGCTCCCAGCTGCTCGTTGGCAGAGCCTGAGAACAGCAGCGCGTCGCCCAGCTTCCGCGCGAAGGGTTGGCTCTCTCGCGAGCGCCACAGCGGGTTTTCCTGCGCTTTTTCGCACCCCGGGGGGCCTCCGGGGGGCCCCGGGGGGCCCCCCCCGCGCGGGGGGCCTCCCCCGCACCCCGGCGGGCACACCGGCGGCGGGCCCGGCGGCGGCGGGGGCCCCGACGCCGGCGAAGGCGACGGTGCCGGGCCCGGGGGGGGGCCCCCGGGACCCGCGGGGGCCCCCTCGCACTGCGCCGGCGAGGGGGGCCCCTGAGGGTCCAGCGCTGCCACCAGCAGCGCCGAACTCGCTGCAGCGAGAGCCAACGCAGAGGCGCACAGCCGCGGCGGGGAGCCCGGGAAACGGTCCTCCCGCGAACGCGGCTGCTGCTGCAGCAAACGCCCGCCCCCGCCCCCTGCAGCAGCAGCAGCCGCCGGCCGACGCCGACCCCCGCTGCTGCGGCTGCTGCTGCTCGCCGCAGCGTTCAGCGCCGCGGAAGCCGATAAGCGACACGCCCGCAGCAGCTGCAGGAAACCAATCATCTTGCAGCCCAGCATGGGGGCCTCGTCTCTCTCCGGGTCTTTCGTTCGCGGCCCAAGCTGCAGAAGGCCTCGATAATACTCAACATGCCTCAGAAATACCAAGAATACTTTCTTCTGCAAACCACCGAAACCCGGGACGCGGCAAACCCCCCAGAAGCCACACAATGCAGAGGCCTCAGGCCTCACGCTGCAGCCCCACAGCCGCCGCAGCTCCGCCCACCAGCCAGCGCCGCGCCATTTCCCCAGGTCTGCACACTTCCTACACTTTCTTCGAATCAAAAATGCACTTTTTTCCTCCAAACAAACTCCCTTTGCCCCCACAAACACCCCCACCCCCAGCCCCCACTCCCCCCCAGGGCTACTGCTGCTGCTGCTGCTGCTGCTGCAGCTCCAGGACACGCGGTGGCCGCTGCGCAGGCCACGGACCCCCAGAGACCCCCTGGCGACAGCACATGACCCATTAGAGGCATATTAAGGTATTATCGCTGCTGCTGAAGGCCCGGGCGCCAGCAACGGATGCAACTTTGCTGCGCAACAAAGCTGCAGCAAAGCTCCAGCTGTCGTCGCTGGGCCGCGGCGCCACGCCTTAGCTTAGCTAGGCTTTCGTGGATTCGTAGTGGCTAGCTGCTTCGAAGTCTGTGGGGCTGGCCTCTTTAGGTTCATTTTGACCAGTTTTACCTCTGCAGCAGCTGCTGCTGGGCCAGAAGCAGCTGCTGAAGTGGCAGCAGCAGCAGCAGCAGCGGCGCCCGACGCTGGTGCCTCGTGCAGAGCGCTGGGGGCGTTGCTATTAGTTGTCTAGTGCTGCTAATGGTGTTTAAAGCGCTCGTACAGTGTTTTGCTGTTGCTGCTGCTGCTTGTTTGTTCTCTTGTAGAGAGGGTGGAGGGCCCCACAAGTTCAACGTGCAGGCTCTGTGGCAGCTTTGCTGTCATTGAACTCGTCGAGCTGCTGCTGCTGCTGCTGCTGCTGCTGTAGTCTTCAGGACCCTGTAGGCAATTTTGTAGCCACGGGGCCAGCGCCATATTGCCCATGAGGGCAAAAAGGTGCGGGGGCTCACAGCAGCAGGTGTTTTCGCTAAACCCCAAAGGGGTGTTCAGGGCCATAAACCCTTAAAGGGCGTTTAAAGTTCTAGACCCCGAAATAGCGTTTGGAGCCTTAAACCCTAAAGGAGCTTTTAGGGTTTAAGGTCTAAACGCCTTTTTGGGGTTTAGAACTGTTATGAAGCCTTTTGCCTGGCATCGCCGCCAGCCCCATGTACGCTCTTAGCTGCACTCGCGGCGATGAAGACCATGAAGCAGCAGCTGCTGCTGCAGCAGCAGCTGCTGCTGCTGCTGCTGCCTGCTGGTGTCAAGGCGGAGGCTGAAGCTGTTAACGAGAGAAAAGGAATACCGTGGCATGGACCTCTTCTCACAATGTAGAAGACAATCAGGAAAGAAATGGAATTGCTTAATGGGTTTAATCATTTAATTAAAAGACCTAAATATCCCAAAGAAATAATTCTATTATCACAAATACCAGCAGCAAGAGCACACTCGCCAGCCCAGCAGCAGCCGCCGCAGCAACCCCAGGGCTTTTGTGGCACTTGGGCCAAATGGCAGCAGCAACTTGAAAAGGCTAATAATTATAATTATAGTTTTTATGCTGCAGAATCCCCGCGTGTCTGTAGGCCTGCCCCGCCTAGGGTTTAGGGTTTAGGGTTTTGGATTTGCCTGGCTGCTTCTCGGTAGCTCAAACGACCTAAAGCGAAGCAGCAGCTAGAAAGGGTCTAGGGTTTAGGGTTTGGCTAGCTAGGCAGCGTCTCAAATGCCAGTCAGGAAAACTGAAATAAAAAAGAAAGAAGCTAAACTCACTGCTGCTCCCTGCTGCGCTTTCCAGTGTACAGACACCTCTCCCCTATCTGCCGCTGCTGCTCTCAGCAGCAGCAGCTGCAGATGCAGGGACAACAGGCAGTGGCTGCTGGAGCTGCAGCAGCACCAGCAGCCGCCGCTGCTGCTGGTTCCGGTGCTGCAGCTGTAGCTGCTGCAGCACCTGCAGCTGCGGCAGCAGCTGCTGCTGCTCCTGGTGTGAACTCGGGTGCAGCAGCTGCAGCAGCAGCAGCAGCTGCTGCTGCTGCCACGGTTGCAGCTTCAGCCCGAAGTAACCTGTTTCCTTTTTGTCCAGGAAACTGCTTCTTTGCTTTTGACCCTTATGGGACTTCTAGCAAAAAAACAAAAATGAATTCTTTACAATGCGAGTGCAGCACAGAGCGGCTACGTCAGGTCTTACCTTTCCGCCGCTATTCGTGTTGCTGCTGCTGCTGCTGCAGCGCGAGGTGCTGCTGCTGCTGCTGCTCCGCTTTCATGCGGCCATACAGCAAAAGCGCCAGCAGCTGCTGCTGCGCGGCCCGCAGCGTCAAACTGACTGAAGTACAGCAGCCCTGCAGCGTCCCGAGGAGGCGTAAGGGCGGAGACAGAAGTTGACCTGCAGAGAGCAGCAGCAGCAGCAGCAGCAGCAGCAGCTCTTTAGCAAGAACCAACCGGCTGACAGTGCAACAGCAGCAACGGGAAGAGCAGCAACAGCAGCAGCAGCCGCCAGAGCAACTGTACTTCGCAAGTGCTACCTATGGCTTCCTTGGCTTGTTTGTGTGGGCTTTGCGGCGCAGCGCTGCTGCAGCATCCAGCAGCAGCAGCAGCAGCAGCAGCTGTGTCTCACCGGTGAGCCTTTGGGTGAGCTCTTTGCGTCTGGGCAAATCGGCCAGCAGAAAAATGCTTTGGGGGGGAATGAGTCTTTCTGGGGTCAATGCAACAGCAGGGAGAGTTGCTGCAGCAGGTTTAGGCGGGCTGCCGAGCGCTGCTGCTGCTGCTGATTCGGCAGCAGCAGCAGCAGCTGCTGCTGCTGCAGCGGCCGCATCTTCTGCCTTTGCAGCAGCAGCAGAAAGGCCCCGCTGCAGCAAAGCAGCAAACAGCTCCTCAGGAGGGGCCCCAGCCACCGGGACATAAATGTATTTGTCTTTGGGTTTTCTGCGGGCGTCACTTCCTGCTGCTTCATCAGCTCTTTCTTTGTTGGCAGCAGCAGCAGCAGCAGCCTGCTGCAGCAGCAGCCGCAACGCCTCCGCCAGCCGGTCTTCTGCTGCTGCTGATGCATGCACAAACGCGTACAAGGACTCCCCCTGAAGATGCGGCAGCAGCAGCGCAGCAGACTCTGACACGCTGCGCGCAGCACCAGCAACAGGCACAGCAGCTTTCGCTAGTTCTGCTGCTGCTGCTGCTGCTGCAATTGCTGCTGGGTATTCTTCTGGCTCCGGCAGCTCCAAGTTGTCCCAGTCAAGACCGGAGGTCTCAGCAGCAGAGGCAGCAGAAGGAGCAGCGACAGCAGCATCAGCAGGCTTCCCGCCTTCCTTTTTCTTCGCGTTCTTCTTCCCGCTGCTGCTACTCTTGCTGCTGCTGCCGCCGCGCCTCGCAGCCTCTTCTTGCTGCTGCAGCTGCTGCAGCTGCTGCAGCTGCTGCAGATCAACTCCTAAAGCTTCCAGCATCTCCTCATCGCTCAAAGGAGGATCATCGAAGCGGCCCCAAAGACGCGCATACATTTCTTCGTCCTGCGCTTGCTGCTGCTCCTGCTGCTGCTGCTGCTGCTGCTGCTCTTCCTGCAGCTGCAGGATGGCGGTGCGCATGAGGGAGTTCTTCACTCTCTTCAGCAGCACGAAGTTATGAAGGCCCTGGAGGAGCAGCGCTTTGAACATTTGCTGCTGCTGGTCTTGCGTGAGCCCCGCAGTAGCTGTTCTGCTGCCGTTGTTGCTGCTGGTGCGCGTCTTGAGCTGCAGCAGCAGCAGCGAAGTCCGCAGCAAATACTTGGCCTCAGCAATCTTGAGGCTTTTGCCCTCCCTCGTTGTTGCTTTCCCTAAAGAGTTTTGCTGCTGCTCCTGCAGCTCGGCCTCTCTGGCTTCCTGGCACAGCTGCTGCAGGCGCTGCCGCTGCCGCTCCCGCTGCTGCTGCGCCTGTTCCCTCTTTTTCTGCAGCAGCAGCAGGTGCTGCTGCAGCTGCTTCTTGCGGTTCTGCTGCTGCTGCAGCCGCTGCTTCGCCCGCAGAGCGACGATCTCCTCCCTAGTGACTGCGCCGCTCAACTTGCGCTGCTGCAAATGCCGCTGCTGCTGCCGATCTTGCCGCTGCTGTCGCCGCTGCTCCTTCTGCTGCAGCAGCCGCTCCCGCTGCTTCGCCTGGTTTGCCTTCCTGCGCTGCAGTATCTCTTTCTGCTGCTGCTTCCGCTGCTGCTGCTTCTGCTGGGCGGAAACGGCAGCAAGCCTGCTGCTGCCGCCTCTGCGCGGAGCGCCTAATGAAACCATAAAAGCCACCGGGGCATTCTGACTGCCGCAGCAGCAGCAGCGTCTGCTGCTGCTGCTGCTGCTCCTCTGCTGCTGCTGCCAGACGCTGTTCAGGAGAAACGAGGGGCGGGGGAAGGGCGCAGCGCTGCAGCTGAAGCATGAGGAAGCAGAAGCAGGAGACTGGTTAACCGCGAAGCAGAAGACACCGCAGCCAGCTGCTGCTGCTGCTGCTGCTGCCAGGAGGAGCAGCAGGCGCGGGAAGCCACGACCGCAGTCGCCCATCGTCCCTCTAAACGCAGCAGCAGAAGCAGCAGCAGCTGAAATTTTCTGCTGCTACAAACGCTGCTGCTGCTGTTGCTTCCTCCTATATCTGAGGAGACAGCCAGTCGGCGCCGCCCTCCGAGACTGGCAGCTACTGCTGCAGCAGTAGCAGCAGCAGGAGCTGCTGCTGCTGCTGGATCTTATCACACGTTTTAGTCAGAACAGAAACAACTATGTAATATAATCACGTTGGCCATTTAGAGCGCTAGCTGCTGCTGATGGTAATGCGGGGCTGCAGGCGACAGCAGCAAGAAGACGCATGCAGCGTTGCAGCATGGGAAACGGAAGCAGCGGCAAAAGCCTCAGCAGCAGCAGCAAGATATGGATTTTCCCGAGTGGACTTCTAGGGGAAAGCGTACGTACAAGAGCAGCTGCTGTCGCTGCTGCTGCAGCAGCAGCGAGAAAGGCTTCGCCCTTCGCAGCGCCTCCTGAGGCGCATTCGGCGTGCCTGAGCAGCAGCAGCAAGCTGGAGAACAGCTGCTGCTTTTGGGAGCAGCAGCAGCAGCAGCAGCAGGAGTCTCTGCTGCAAGGCAGTGCCCGGGGAACAGCCACGGCTGAATGGCTGCGCAGTCCGTGAGCACTTACATCCCCCGCTGTTGAGGCAGAAGCTGCAGCAGCAGCAGCAGCAGCAGCCAGAGGTGCAGCAGGAGCAGGGACATCAGTCAGAGGCGGAACGGCAGCAGCAGCATCAGTCACAGGCGCGAAAGCAGCAGCAGCAGCAGTTGAAAGAGCTGCAAGATTGAACCGGACACGCTGCAGCATCAGCAGCAGCAGCAGCAGTCAACGCCAGCAGAAGGTGCTGAAGCAGCGCCGCAGCAGCGCCTCAGCAAGCCTGCATCAACAGGGACAGCAGCGGCTGCAACAGCAGCACAAGCACGGGCAGCAGCAGCAGCAGCAGCAGGAAGACAGGATGATCGTCGAAAGACTACTCAATGTGCACCACGGGGGCCTGCCCATATCTTCTTTGGCTTTCCAGCCTCACCCTCTTTATGTTTCTGCGCATGCAACGCCCAGCAGCAGCAGCAGCAGCAGCAGAAGCAGCAAGGGCTGCAGCAGCAGCGGCGCTGCTGCTGAGACGGGACCCGGCAAGCAGCGCCGCGCTGCAGCAGCAGGAGCAACGGGCTCGCAGCAGAAGCAGCAGCCTGGGCCAGCAGCAGGCAGGCACCCCGCGGGTAGGAGCGACCGCTGTCCTGCTGCAGCTTCTGCTGCTGCTGCCGTTGCTGCTGCTTCTTCCGATTGTACTTCTGCTGCTGCTTTGCTTCTGCTGCTGCCGTTGCTGCTGCTGACGTTGTTCTGGCTCTGGGGAGGCGACAGCAGCCGACGCCTCGCATAGATAAGCCCTGCTGCTGCGGTCACTACTGTAGGCTGCGGTATAACCGCTGCTGCTGCTGCTGCTGCTGCTGCTGCTGCAGGGCGGCGCTACTGGCAGTACGAGCGGCTGGCAACAGCAGCTGCTGCTTCAGTGAAGATTTGGGTGCTGCATGCGCACCAGCCCCACGAGGTCTCTGCAGCCACGAGGAACGCACGAAGACAAGGTTTGCTGCTGCTTCTTGCTGCTGCAGTTGGTGCTCGCTGCTGCTTCTTGCTGCAGCGGCTGCTTCTCGCTGCTGCTGCTATTCATGCGCGTATGCTGTGAAGCCGGCGCTCCTTGCCTGCAACAGCTGGTCGTATTTCTATCTTTTGTCTGCAGCAAATCGAGCAGCGGCAGCAGCAGCTGCTGCTGCTGCTGCGTCACCTTCAAAGAAGCTGAAGGTTGATGCGCAGCAGTCGCAGCAGAGCTCCCCACAGGATGCTGCTGGAGCAGCAGCCACCAGCAGCAGCAACAACAGTTGCAGCAGCAGCAGTAGCAGCAGCCCGGGCACCGCTTCGGCGCAGGCTGACGACAATGCAGAGCCTGTCGCTGCAGCTGCTGGAGGGCCGGAAGCAGCTCGAGCAGGAGCTGCAGCAAAGGCAGCAGCAGCAGCAGTAGCAGCAAAAGCAGCAGCAGCACTTGAAAGCTTTGGCACTATAGATGGAAACACCCCAGTTAGAGGGCCGCTAACCCGGGCCACCTGTGTGTGGGGCGCAGCAAACCACAAGGCGAACATCACTGCCATTAAGTGGACGTGGGATGGTCAGCCTGCTGCTGCTGCTGCTGCTGCTGCGACTGCTGCTGCTGCAGCCTTTGCTGCTGTTGGTGCTTCTGCTTCCCACTCATCCGCTTGTGCTGCGGCTTTGTAGTCGTCTCTGGGGACGTGGCTGTAGACCCTGCTGCTGCTGCGGGCCGTGCTGCTGTTGCTGCTGGTGCTAGTGTAGCTGCTGCTTCTTCTGTAGGGCGACGCAAGAGCAGCAGCTGCTGTAGCTGATGCGGCAGCTGTGGATACTTTACAAGGCAGCTGCTGCTGCTGATGGCACAATAGTTGCTGCTGCGGGTCTAGGAGCTGCTGCTGCAGCTGCTAATGAGGTTGCTGCTGCTGCTGCGTTTAGGTGAGCTCCTGGGGACTTGCGACAGCAGCGGGGAAATTCACGTATACGCCCTGGCTGCGAGCAGCAGCAGCAGCAGCAGCAGCAAGCCCAAAGCGGCGACAGCAAGGAGGCCGCGCCTCTCGTCACCGCCGCCAGGGGCATCGCAGCAGCAGCAGCAGCAGGCTGCAGCAGCAAAGTCTGCAGCAGGAGGGAGCACACCAAAAGCCGCTGCGATCTCCTCTCCTTCTGCTGCTGCCTCTGCAGCTGCACCGCAGCAGGGAAAAACTAAGGGCAGCAAGGCAGCAGCAAAAGCAGCAGCAGATGGTGGTAGCTCAACCTCAGCAGCAGCAGCAAAGGCAGCAACAAAAAAGGCAACAGATGCTGCTGGGAGGCCTTCTTGCTGCCTGTGTCCCTTTCTGCGTCTGTCGCATCTTCCGCCCCCTGAGCGAGGCTTGTGCAGCCAGCAGCAGCAGCAGCAACAGCAGCAGCAGCAGCAGGACCCTGCTGCAGCAGTTGGGGCTACCGTGTACTCCGAGCGCTGGAATCTCATCAAGACTCTGAGGACGCCCCAATCCTCTCTACCGCAGGTCCGCAGCAGCTGCTCCCTTCGCTGCTGCTGCTGCTGCTGCCTCTGCTGTTGCAACTTCTACTACGTTTGATGCTACCTTTGCTGCTGTTCCTGCAGCTGCCTGTGCTGGTGCCTTCAGTGGTGCTGTTGCTGCTGCTGCCTTTGCTGCTGCTGCTTCCTCTGCTGCTGTTCCTGCTTTAGCCCTTGCTGCTGCTTCTGCTGCTGCCTTTGCTGCCTCTTTCTTCACTGGAGCCCTTAAGCAAAAGCCTCCGGCACGCATCGCACCACGGGAGAGCCACAGCAGCAGCGCCAACGCAAAGTGCAGCAGCAGCAGCAGCAGCAGTAGCGTGTGGTTTGGATCGCTGTTTCTTAGGTGTTCGACTTCGTTTGGAGCTCTGATAAGAGGTTTATTGTAGCTGCTGGGGCGAGAGGCAGGTACGCTGCTGCTGCTGCATTTGCTGGTACTTCTGCTGCTGCTGCTGACGCTGCTGCTGCTGCCGCGCCGTCAGTGGTGGATCGCGGGCATGCGAAGCTTTTGCCTCAGCTGCAACGGCAGCAGCAAGAGCTGCTGCTGCTCCGTGCTGCAAGCTTGGTGCCGATTTTGTCCTTTTCACTGCGACAACCAGCGATTCCTGTTGCAACTCCCGCTGCTGCTGCTGCAGGTTATCCGTGCTGCACGTGGCTGACGGCACCTCTTGTTTGACTTTTGCTCTTCCCCCTTCAGACGGGGGCCTCGTCAAGGGCCTTTCCTGGCGGGCAGATAATCTGCTGCTGGCGGCTCAGGTCTGAAGGTTCTGCTTCTGTTGCTGCTGTTGCTGCTTCTGCCGCTGCTGTTGTTGCTGTTGCTGGTGCTGTTGTGGCTGTTGTGGCTGCTGCGGCGTGTGTTGCCGCTGTTGTTGATGTTGGCGCGAAGCTCCTCGCTTAGTTGCTGCTCCCGCTTCTGCATTTTTGACCTCCGAAAGTAACTTATTGCTGCTGCTGCTTATGCTGCTGCTGCCGCAGACGAGCAGCAAGAAGCTGTACTTGTGGCGCTGCGAGCCACCCGCTGCTGGGGAGACCAAATGGGTTGTGGAGGAGACTGCGCAGCATGACGTGAGACTGCCTTGTTGCTGCTGCCTGCTGCTGCAGCGTCTCTCCCCTGCTGCTGCTGATACTGCTGCTGCTGCTGTTGCTGCTGCTGTTACTGCTGCTCCGGGTTCGCTTTGGGCGGCTGTCTGCGGCCGGCTTTGGGTTTGCTGAGTCAAGCACATGAATGGAGAAGTGCAAGAAACAGCATCGCGTGCTGCTGCTGCTGCTGGTGCTGTTGTGCTGCTGCTGCTGCTGTGGCGCTGCGGCGACCCAGCTGGTGCTGCGAGACGGCCCCACAGACTCGCCAGTGCTGCGGACTCCGTCTTTCTGCGTCTCCGACTGTTTCCTCTCTGTCTCCCACGCCCAGAGGGAAGACAGGCCCTTCGGTGGGGCCTCGCCAGGCAGTAGCAGCAGCAGCAGCAACAACAACAGTAGTAGTGGTAGCAACAGCAGCAACAGTAGTAGTGCTAGCAGCAACAACAGCAGCAGCAACAGCTGCAACAGTACCAGTGGTAATAGCAGCAACAACAGCAGCAGCAACAACAGTAGTAGTGGTAGCAGTAGCAGCAGCAGCAGCAGCAACAGCAGCGGCAGCAGCAGCGTCTGTCTGTTGTGTCTGCCCAGGCTGCGCGTTCTCTGTGGACGCCAGGGGCTTCGTAGACCCGAAGGCGCCCATTTTCTTCTACGGCCACCAGGCCCCCGTCAAGACTGTGGTGAGGATTAGGGCGAGGGTTTAGGGTTTAGGGTTTAGGGTTTTAGGGCTTGGGGTTTGGGGTTTACGGACTAGAGCGTGGGGTTTAGGTTTGGGGGTTCAGGGTTTAGAGTTTAGAGTTCAGAGTCTCGGGTTTGGGTCTAGGGTTTAGGTTTTTGAGTTTTGGGTTCAGGGTTTAGGGCTTAGGGTTCAGGGTTTAGGGTTTAGGGTTCAGGGTCTATGCTCAGAGTTTTGGCGACGGCATATTTGTCTCTTCCAAGAAGGGCAGGCCTCCCGAGCGACACGTCATGTACTGCCAAGGTAAAAGCAGCAGAAGCGGGGCAGGAACGGCAGCAGCAACTGCAGTAGCAGCAGCAGCAGCAGCAGTAGCAGCACCAGCGGCGGCTGTAGGGTGTTCCTGTTGCTGCTATCGCTGTCGCATTTGTTCTGCAGCGAGTGAGGACGGAATGATTTCCATTTGGCGTGTGTCGCTGACTGGGAACAGCACCAACAGCAGCAGTAGCAGCAGCAGCAGCAGTGGAAGCAGCAACAGCGCTGCAAGCAATGGCAACCAAGGCTGCAGCACGAAAGCTGCGGGATCTCAGCAGCAGCAACAGCAGCAGGAGGAGCAGCATGGGCAGTGCGTTGCTGTTGTGACGAATCTCTTAGACGAAAATACAACTGTTCAGGGTTTTTCATGGTGGGCAGGCACTGCAACTCTTGCTGTTGCTGCCACTGCTCTTGCTGCTTACACCGCTGCTGTTGCTGCTGTTGCTGCTGAGGCTGCTGCTGCTCATGTGCAGCCAGCAGCAGCAAGAATTTTAGCACGGGTTGCTTCTTGTCCTGCTGCTGCTGCCAACACCGGAGCCAGTGGCCTGATATCGCTTATGCGCTGGCTACTGTTGCTGCTGCTGCTGCTGCTGCTAATGCTGCTGCTGCTGCTGCTGCTGCTGCAGGACCCGAGGAAGCATGTGGCTGGCTGTCGCCTGCAGCGGGGGCCACGTCGCACTAGTGCGCCTCAGCCCTGAAGAGACTCGAAGCAGCGGCACTGTTTGCTGCAGCTCGTATGACCACCGCGCAGCAGCAGCACGTGCTGCAGCAACAGCAGCAACAGCGCCGATGTACGTGCCCCCGGAGCCCGGGACGGCAGTCGCGGCAGCAGCTGCTGCTACGGGCAGCTGGACTGCTTGCCGCTGCTGCTGCTGCTGCTGCTTCTTGCATTCCTCCTTGCCGCTAAGGAAGCCGAAGCCGCAGCAGCCATCTCTTCCGCTTAAAGCAGGAGCAGCAGCAGATCCTGCGGCCTGTGCTGCTGCTGCAGCTGCTGCGTCTCCACCCGCAGCAACACCGGTGCCGCTGCGGTTACTGCAGCAAGAGACCATCTTGCAAGGCGGAGCGCGGCGAATTCGCCCTGTGCTGCTGTCTCGGCTAGGTGGGGCTCCTTTAGCAGCAACAGCAGCAGCAGCTCCCACGGCAGCAGCAGCAGCAGCGGCCAGTCCTGCTGCTGCTGCAGCTGCTGCGAGCAGTACAGCTGATGGAGGGCTTGCGCCTGCAGCAGCTGGCGCTCCGCAGACGACTGTGGCGGCAGCTGGGGCTCCGCCAACAAGTGGCGCAGCAGCAGGAACGGCAGCAGCAGCAGCAGCAGCAACCGCAACGGCAGCGGGCGCAGCAGTAGCAGAACCTAGTGCAGACACTGCAGCTGCAGCGGCGGGGCGCTCCTCAGGAGCAGCAGCAGCAGCAGCAGTTAAGACCCTCAGCTTCATGGAGGTTTTTTCGCGGCTCTCAGGTGCTGCTGGCTGCCGGGCCGATCCAGCAGCAGCAGCGACAGGCTTAGGCGCGGCCCGAGCAGCAGCAACAGCTGCTGCAGCAGAAGACAAGAAGGCTGTGCTTAGCGACACTGGGGAGCAGCGACAGAATGACAGCCAGCACCAGCAGCAGCAGCAACAGCAGCAGCAGCAGGCAGCGGATCTTCCGCTTAGCAGAAGCCGTAGCAGCAACGGAGCAGATGTAGAAGCAATGGATGAAGACGCTCTGCCGCCGCACAACGGCAGCAGCAGCAGCAACAGCCTAGTGTACTCATTTGCTGCAGCAGACACAGCTGCAGTACACAGACAGCGGTGTGTCCTGACGGACCTTGCCGCCCTAATCAGCTACTCTGCTGCCACGCAGGCAGCAGCAGCAGCAGCTGCTGCTGCTTGGGAGAGCAGCGATAGTTTCAAGCAGAAGGTGCAACTTTTCGCGTCTTCTGCGTACGGGTCAGAGACAGCGAGCAGCCGCAGCAGCAGCAGCGGTGCAGCGGCGCTGCTGGAGCAGCAGCAGCTGCTGCTGCGTCGTGTTGCTGCGGACGTTGCTAAGTGGCGGAAAAGAGCCCAGAGTGGGACCACCTCTCCGGCTGCAGCAGCAGTGCAGCAGCAGCAGCAACAGAAGCAGCAGCAGCAACAGCAGCTGCTGCCTCAGAACCCACAGCAGCAGCAAGAGCAGCAGCGAGCGGAGCACTCGCAGGCGGCTGCTGTCTCCATTAATAACAGCAGCAGTGCCGGAAGCAAAAGTGGGAGCAACAACAGCAGCAGCAGCAGCAGCGGCGGCGGCGGTGCACGGGCGGCAAGCCCCACAACAAACGGCAGCAAATCCGGCGGCAGCAGCAGCAGCAGCAGCAGCAGCAGCTTTGGCGGAGGCGGAGACGAGGGAGACGGCAGAGACGGCAAACGAGGCCTAAGGCTGTCACTTAATTCCCCTGAAGGGTCAGAAGCAGAAGACAGCGAAGCTGAGGAGGAGGAGCCGCGGCCTGCTGCTGCTGCTGCTGCTGCTGCT